ACCGAGCAGGATGAAACCCTCGCCATGATCTCCAGCCTGAGACCCAGTCGGTTCACTGGACCAGTGCGGCACTCGCTGCGGCACTCGGCCGTTCCGCCAGACTCGTCTTTTGGGCGGCATCGGTGCGGCACTCGGCACGGTCGGCCGAACTCCAAGATTCACTCCTTCGAGCCGAGCTCAAAACTCAGATGTCTCAACATGGACCCCTCAAACAACCACCCCTGGCCTGATCGGCATATATACCATTACATGGAGCGTCTGGGCAAACACAATGAACTCAGATGTCTCAAACATTTGGCCGCAAACATAACATGGCTTGCAACCGTGCAAACCGGGCGATTTTTGGTTCCCTCATCTGTGGAAACAACAACACCCACGTGGACAACCGAACCACGAGTAATTTGATCCCTACAACATATCAGTGCACTGGATATAGACACTGGCTCTTCAGCCCTATGCATCCAAACTGCAGTGGTTCGAGTACATTCCCGAACATGGTAGTACACCCCCCGGGCACAACCATAGCTGCTCCACTACACTTTCCAACCATCCATGGTTTCTGGACCAGAGGTGGCTGATGGCGACCTTAACCACAGCTCCCAAACCCTTAACCATAACTTGCATATATCCCATTCCCTATAACAGTGGATGATGTTTAGTTGCAGGCCTTCCTCTAAAATAGTGATAGTGATAATTGTTTACCGACTGCTACAGGCAATAGTACTAATATGCAATATGTGAAGCAGAACGGAGACCTGCAAAACACCTGTTCATCCGTTCCAGTCCATGTCCAAAGCCCCGCCTGGTACGCAAAGAAGACCACCACTCTGGGACGTCTGCGGAGTGATGCAAGCAAAGGCTTGGATCCTCAATCGAGATGGTTGAGATCCGCTCTGCATGCTGATCACGCCAGTTCCAAGGCCCCCCAAACCGGTAAAGCAGAACCAACAAACATCACTCAGTCAGGTAGTGTTTTGAAACCTCACCCAATGGGTGTGTGACTTGGCTCCATGGCTGTGTTTCTTACCCGGACTCAAAGACACGTGCTGCAGCCAAAGCCTCCATCCAAATCCAGGCTGAGACCATGGATTCTGATCCTCACCCGGCAAGAAGCAGCACGTTTTCTCTCCAAGACTTGGGTGTTCAATTGGTGTTCACCCAACCATGGTCAGACAAGTAATGCAAGGTGGCTTCTGGGTCAACAAACTCGAAAGTGAGGTTCCTCCATAAGCCAGTACGGGGGAAATTGTAGGTCTGCAGCAACATCTTGGACTGCCTGAAATGACGATTGGCTGATGCTTCAGCTAGTCTTGTAGTACATTCCCTATGGATCCAACTACGAATGTAGGGACTGACCCGACTTCATCAACCCGGCCCCCCATTCACACCGAATCCCGCGTCGTATCAAAGGATTTTCAGTGATAACTTAACACATGACCCAACCTCCTCGACCACCCTATACCGGACCCTACTACCCTCATCCCCCACATTTTCCGAACCAAAAAGAATGCATCCGCTTCCACGCACACCTCGAAGTGGAACCCGGAAAAAAAGGCGAGGAAGCGCCACGCGCCGCGACTCTTGGCGAGGCGCCCAATGAAGCCACTGCTCCAAGGTCCGCCACTCTGGGCGTGTGCCGCTGGGGCGCATGACACCCCAGCGGGGCGTTCGGCCCAGAAAGACGACCTGCCAGCGGTGGAGGTGGGCAAAGAACGCAGGTGAAAGGTAATTGATTTCATACTAGAAGTGTGAGAATTAAGGGCAGAATAACCAACCTTTTCAAGCAAGCATGCCCTGAGCCAGGAGATCATAACAACATATCACCTCCAAGCATCCCCACTGTACTGAAACAACGTGGGATGGGAAATGGTCTCTCTGTTTGCAGGGCTTTGGGGATCTTTGAGGCCTGCTTTTGGTATGTGTGGTCTCTTCCGGAGTCTCAACATGCCCCAACTGGCATCCAAGGCAAGGAGACGACCTAGAAACCTCCAATCCCTTATATCTGCCACCTTCACATCTCCTTTCTTTCTTTCGTTCATTAATCAACAAAATACGTATACAGTATATGTGCATGCTTATGAACCGCCCCTGACCATCCACCAAACTCATGTACCTTCTCATCAGAGCCGTCGTCGAAGCCGTCACCTTCCGCACGCCACAGAAGCGATAAGATCTGCTCCACCCGGTCGTGAAGTGCCAGCTCCCAGCAGCTCAAATCCTCGCTGGGAGGAACTGATTAAAACCATCCAACATTCTTTAGACAAAAAAAAAGCAATGAATTGGTTTATGTTCGAAAGCTTTGACAATTGAACGGTGAATCCTGTCGATATTGGCCATCTGCTGTCCTATCAGAATCACTGTTGTTCTTCCCCCCTTGGACGCTCTGCCCACAACGAGCGACTGCCCGGCGCCAGACCGGACGGGCCCAGTTGTCTCGTCTGGTCCTGGAAAGGATCCAAGGATTCCAGAAAGTTTTTGCCTCCGTCTTGTTGAGGCCAGCCATTCTCCTCCAAAGGATGTCGCCACATGGATTTGTCAAAGCTTGGTGGTTTAGCAAGCCTGAAGATGCCCCCAGATGGCCATGGTATGCATCATAGAACAGCGGAACATAGCAATACTGGCAATAATTACTTGTGTTCTCCCCTTTAGCTTTCAGACTGACTGCATTCCTGAAAACAACCGGTGGTACATCAACTCAATGCGGACACAAATGTTTTGAATGCAGCTGGCTCTTTGGGCGCTTAAAAACCAACTCTGCACTGCACACCGCATTTTCTCCAACTGAACAGGGAACATGACGAAAACTGAGGACCTGAAATGTGGTGGATCTGTTAATGGCTCCTTCGTCCACGACTCTGGCTTGCCTTGCTGGATACTGCCATTCCTCGCGAGTAAGCGAGGGCTCGTCCAAAGCTCGTCCTGGAGTTTCACGGAAGGCCCAGTTCACACTTGCGTGAAGATCTAAGCACTTGTAGAAGAAACATCGTTTGATATAGTTTGGCTTGGAGTACCCAGCAGTGGCTGACTGGCTGACTTTTGGAGCGAATGAAGACCTGCTACAAAGTCTGGAGCGACGTGGTCAAGTTACAAGCAACCGCGTTGCTACACTCCGGGGTACGTAATGGGCCTGGGATGAACTACTGCACCAAACAAAAAATGGACACCCCTCTAAAAGTATCTAAAAGTACTAGGTCAAGTCGGATGTCTCTTGGCAGGCTGAGGCCATCGCAATACTCCCCTTAGTGATTCTGGGACTTGAAGATGAATACAAACAAAATCAGCGTTGGTTTAGGATTAATTACAAGCTCAATCAAATTCAACAGCACGGACAAATTCGTTATTCAACGACTTGAGAGCTGCTTGCCTGCCGCAGCTGTGAGCACATAAAGTACCATACCACCCCTCAAATAATCATACAAAATGCACACCGGCTCCGCAACAGGGCAAGAGATCTTCCAAGATTCTAGAGGCAAATTGTCATTCCACGTGTTCTATAATTCTTCCATGAAATCATCATTTCAGTGCGTCTACGATTCCACTGTCGAGCTGAAACCCAAAGGCTGGCAGTGGAATTGCTCATGTCCTACCGGGTGTCCCAACACTCCGTTTGCCTCGACCACGACATCGACGACGGTCCAAAGCCCGGTGGATCTCTTCATCGCTGAAGACGTCTGCCACCACCTGGGCGGGTGAGAAGACGAGGGTGACGACGCTAGACCCTGTCACCTGTCACCAAGATCCAGTGGCAAGTTTGCAGGTCGCGTTACGTCTAGAAGGAAACACCGCATGACGCAATAACAGGCCCCGAAATATATGTCATGTTACACCATGTTCAGAAAGCTGTGGAAAGGCGAATCCAAAAGGCCCTGAAAAGCCGCGGAAGGAGCAAGTTAATGATGATGATGTACGTGGTTGGTAAAGTTGTGATGGTGGAACTTTGGTGGCGTTCCAAGAAACCAACCTATTGCATCCCATGTTCAATTCGCTGGACAAGTTGCCAAGTGTTTGGACCCCAAGTTACCAAGTAACAGGTTTGCAGTCCGACTCTATTCTCCCAATCTCAATCAACATGTTTTGGAGGCATCAACTACCACTTGACCGCCGCTAATATTGATCTGAAGAAAGAACGAGGCCACCCAAGCAATGGGGTAAGCTGCTTTAGTCTTGCTTAATCACCTCCAACTGCATACGAGTATGGCTAAAACACAAAGGTATCACAATCCAAACTCGCCAGTGAACGGATGAACCGGTGTCCTCATGAAAAACAAAACACGGATTAAGTTGATGTGTCTTTCAAAAGGTAAAACATTGTAAAAAACAACACTTCTCCCAGGCGCCACAAAGCCATGCTCGTGGAAGTGCTGAAGGATCGCTTCGTCATCTCCGAAAGGGATCGATCGATCCACACAAAGATCGCGGCTTCGGGGCTCCATCGGGGTGGTGCCAACGAATGCCGAGACCACGGCAGCTGAGCAGAATGGCTCCCACCGCGATACCAAAAAGAAAGACGCAAAAACAGCACCCTGATATTCTGTAGTTACTCTTTAAGCAGAGTGTCCTTGATTTAGACGCGGCCTGTAAACTGTCCCGAAGAAAGCAAGCTTGTAAAAACAATAATGGAATTTCCATGGATGTCCACCGGAAGGAATCTACCGACTGGAGCATTCAGTTTCAAGAATTTGGAAGGCCAAGTCCAGCAGTCCAGCGCCCACCATCCGGTTTCACAATTTATTGAATCAATCAACGGACCCTCGGCAGTTTCCGAATGAAGCACCAGGGCCAGTCGAAGACATGATCAAGTTCCTTCAGCCTTCCACCATTGGAGTTCTTCTTCGCATCGTATCCCGCCCATGGGCAGAGTAGATGCCGTCACTCACAATTCGGAGGAGGTGCCGTCACTCACAATGAACACACATGACGGTCAAAATGATCAAAGAATATCAAAGATCTATAAAGCCTCAGTCACCAAAATACCTTTCTCTTTGATATCTTATCATCTCCTCGGTCGGAGTACCAGGCATGGTCGGAGGAGTGTCAAGGGGCTCGGGCATCTTGACACCTGCACATCGGTTGCGTCGGTGCCGTGAGTGCCGAGCACCGTTGGCAGAAACAATGAAGTCATAGGACAAACGTGTGCAAAAATAGTCATAACCGCTGAACATCTCATGCCTGACAGGCATGCTTTTCCATAAACAACATCACCCATTTTTTCACAGATCCACCATAAGTCTGAAACGTTGACTAAAAAAAAAAAAAACACAGACTGTCTCAAATGAAGGAATGATTTAGAGTGATAAATCAACCATAGAGTGATCCATCGAAGAGAATGTCAAACCGAAAATCATAACAGGTGATAGTATGGAACCTAGGATAATATCCACATCTAACAAATCTGTTAGGGCCTAGGCCTAGACTCCACCTCCAGGGCTGCCGATGTCATCGACTCCAAACGAGTTTCCGGTGTCCACGGTGTCCACAGCCCATGTTTGGGATTTAGTTGCGGTTTGAGGTTGGTTTCAATTGGATTTTATTTCTGGTCCCAGCCACTTTTGGGATTTGGTTGGGAGTTGGTTAGGTTTGTTTGGTGTTTTGGTGGGTTCAGTGTGGGAAATCATCAGGCCCATAGATAACCCACAAAAAAACAATCAAACTCCAACATTCACCTCAAATTACCCAAGTTAAACCCACACCACTACCACCCAAAACCTTGGGTACAGTCTTGCTCGTTTTAATAATTTTGCGACCCAAAACAACAAGAGCGCTGAGCATTTCTCTGGGATTTTGCTAAACTTTCTGAGGGATCTTAGAGTGAATGATTGGGAGCCATCTGGGTTTTCATGGGCACTCTCTTGGGAAACACAAAGGCCTAACATAATGTAAAACGCCTGTAACAAAGACGCCCTCGAGTGCATCTAATGAGTGGAGAATGTTGGGGGGGGCACTCAATGCATCATTGACACATCCGACTGCCTTCCTCATTGCAAGAAGCAGTGCATTGGAAGTTCATGTGACATTTGTTCAGTTTTACTCTACAGTAGCGTGGCGACAGAAAGATTGGAGCTCTTTTGGAACTATTCACTGTGCAAACTTCAAGCTGTGCACACTGGTCTCGATGTGCAACATCTTTGCCATGTGCATAGGTCTGTGGAGAACCGAGGGGATCCTAACCCTGACCCTCCTACTTTGCCATGTCGCAGGATGAAAGCTCTTGGCACTAAATCTTGAATAGACTAATTGCTACAATACTACAAGCCAATGTTATGACATATGAACTGTCATCAAGCAGTTTGTACCTTTGAAGCCACTATGCATGACGTACCATAAAGCAAACCAGACCAATAGACCAACCAGCAGCTGTAGCTCTTGGAGGCATTGGATGCAGTTAGGACATAATCTAACACGGAGCAAACGTCGCACGCCACAGGCCTCCGTATGCACCCATTGTTAGGTCCATGATTCCTGGCCACCTGCGCATCAGGGATTGTCCAAACGATCATGCTGGTGGAAACCCTTGCTATACCAAAGAAACCATAGGAAACTAGGAAACCCGTATGACCTCAACAGGAAACCACAGAAACTATTCCACTAACTTCAAATGACAGGAATCCCAGCCTTGTTGGGCCAGTTGCATTGTTGAGACATAAGGCACATATGCCACAGTAGTGGTTAACTCTCTATCCAGTAGTAGTAGTGGTTACCTCTATCCAGCAAGCTGGATCTTTGGTCCGTCTTTAAGACTCACAACGACATGGGCAGCGACAGTCTATAGGAACAAAAATGGGATTGAGCCATGTACCAGTGCTTCATCCCTTGAAACTGATAGTCAAATTTAGTGGACCCCCCCCCAAAAAACTCTTTTGGGTTACTAATATAATGGCCACCAACCTACTCCTCCAACCTGCTAGCGATGGCCCCCATAGTGACCATAATTGAAACATCTTGAAATTGCATGCAAAGGCATGGCGTGCGCCGCTTCAAGCGCGGCTCCGCGCATTTCGGTTCTCCATGCCCCAACCTTCCGATGATCCGTGCAAACCGGATGCGGGCGATGAGGCTGCGGGGCCGTTGGGGCTATGTCTAAGCCATTCAGCGGTGGAGCGGAGATAGATGAACGGTTCGCAGCTGTAGTGGGAGGGCTATGTAGACTACGAGGTGGGTGTGTAATATATAGTGGGTAGTGGTCGTAATGTGTACAATTGTGATTATAATTGTGATTATAGGTGGTTTGTCTTGGAATTTAGAGGTATACTGAACCAATAGCTCATAAAAAAAAGCCAGAGAAGACATTGCTGACTCCTTCGTAGATGAGATTGCCTGTTGGTTGTGGATCAACAGCTGACAAGTCCAATCAGTATCGTCACTTAGCCAGCTTAGCCCTCTCTTGAAGAGTCTCAGGAGGGTGGTCCGCCCGCTGCGGGAAAAGGACTCTCAGGACTACTTAGACTCTCAAGTCTCAAGACAATTTCTATGTGACTCAAACGGTTCTTCCAACAGAAGCCAATTCCCCCACAGAAGCAAAGTGTTTGACAGCCCTCATCTGCTGTGAAAGATGTGGAACTTGAGACCTGACCCATCATTTGGATTTGGATATGGAATCAATTGCTAAACATGTGAAATCCCAAATTTGCGGGGTCCTAGAGTATATAATCCGGATTCTATTTGGAGCAAACCACCGCACAGTGTGCAATTCTCTTTTTTCAACCCCCCCGTGCACGTGCTTTGCCAATGCGACACCCTGGCGAGGCAGCTCAGACGGCCCAGAGGGTTGAGCACTTGACCGGAGGTTTTTCAGGTCGACGTCCGGGAAAGCACAAGAGCATGATATGGCTGTGGGTTCAGGATACCTTGGTTGAATTAACTGGATGGTCAACCTACCAGAGTGAAGTGGGCTGCAAATGTTGACCCATCTCCATATGCCTATGTTTGACCTCCGGAAAACAACAAACACACAAATCATCAAGGCTCACTGGTTATGTCGGCTGCAAGTGTGATGTTGTCGCATGTTCTTGTCGTGCTCATAATATCAGGTTTGGCTGCCTGGCATCGTTTTGAAAAGGACACATGCAATTGTAATAGTGAGAGTCATCCTGGAGTTTGGAAACCAACATGATATCACACATATAGCATCATAGCCATTTGTCACGACAACTCGAAAGGCATCATCGATCGGTCTTGTTTCTGAACACTCATAACATCGCTTTCCACGCGCCGCGGAGGAATTCCTTTGATTCCTCGTTGGTGACATGGAGCAAGTTATTCCCATGGGACAAAATGATGCCTTCGATCTTCCAGTCGCCTTCAAGAATCTCTCGCATGAAACGACGAACCTCATCTTTCTTCCCGACGCCAAACTGATACTCTGGTGCTGGCTTGCCCTGGTTCCACATACCGAACAAGCACCAGAAAAGCCGCAAGCAGCGGTTGTAGCCCACATAGTCATCACCAATATGTTCGACTAAGTCCACCAACAGCAAGTGCCTCGTTACTTTGTGATACATCACGACCTCATGCATCAAATCGAAGCCGGCTGAAAAGACTGCCTCGAACTCCTTGGATAAGGCATCATCATTGCCAGCGCTGGCGATGTAGTCATGGATGAAGCCATTGTGATTCAGTAATGGCCTCAGATTCTCCAAGTCTGATTCAGCGTGAAAACACGGAAGCCTTCGGGTGAGAATTCGGTCAACAAAAATACTCTGCAACAACATATCAAGTAAACAAAGTAGGACAATCACATGTTTTTCCTCATCTGACGACTACTTTGCACCGCGGCACTGTTTCTTCTCCACCCCAGGGCAAATCAAGACCTTTGCAGTCTGGAAGCGCTGGGCCCAAGCGGCAATGTGGAAGTGGTGCCAATCCCCAGGCGCCAACAAATAGGAGACTGTCCTCTCGGCGGAGTTTTCTTGGCTTTGCATGCTATGCAAGCATGGAAAAGGTGCGTCATCTTGCTTGATTTGTGGTGATGTGTGCTGTGGAGATGATCGGTTGGGGGGGGTTCTTCACTAAGAAAATAACGCATATATACTATATAACTATAATTAATTAGATCGTCCACTCGAGTGTTTCATGTAGATGTCGATTGTGAAGATGAACAAATCTTCCGACTCAGAACAGCATCAATTTCACGCACGCCCTGTCATTCGAGCCATGGCAGTCCTGCCATGAAAGAATTGTTCACAAATATCATCCAAGGGACAGGGCGAATGAACGCAGTAGCTGCCATCGTTCAAGTGAATAATGGTCGTTCGAGAGTAGCCTAGCTCTGGCTTGTGGAAACCAAGCCTACTCAGAACCAAAACATACTCCTTTTCCTGGTTTTCTTGTTAAAGTCAGCCGTTAGTCTATGAATACTTTCCAGTTGATTCACTTCAAATCATGCTGTTGAATATTGTGCTGGGTAATTCTTCCAATGCGTTGCGCTGCCCTGCACAAAGGTCCACTTCCATGACAGCTGTGTATACCCCACACAAAAGAGACACAGAGGCACGTGCAAAGATAGGCAAACACATGGCTTTGGGTTGAAACTACGTGGTTTCAGCTCATGAAGAACCCTCTTGAGGACGGGCTGGGCGTTTAGGCCTCTTATACAACATATCAGTATATAGTGACGCACCATATCGCCTCGCGAAATAGGGCAGCTTCCAGGTTGCACGTAGTGGCCGGCACGTGGCTCAGGACTGATTTGTTCATATTTGTTCAATGAAAGTCATGAAGACTTCTTTTTTCACCAAGGACACCCTGAAGGCCAAGTGTTCGACCAAGCAGCAGCTGGCGCCTGAGATGTTCACCAAGTACCCGCGACACCAAATCTTCTCGGGCACGATGCATTCGATGGGTGTCAAGTCTGGTACATCCGCCTTTTCCATCAGGTAGAGCAAGATGGTCCAAACAACCACGAAGCCCACTGAGGCATAGTAGACCGCCAACAACCAAGTGCTGCTGCTAGGTACTACTACCACATGCAAAGCAAGAGCAAGAAGAAATCCTATCGCTGGCACTCAAACGACTCGTATGTTCATCTTTCGACATGGGACATGTGTGATCCCCTGAGCTTTCATTCAATAGACAACATTTCTGCGGATCCAACTATATCTTTAAGAGAATGAGCGGCTGACCCTATCCAATCACCAATCCCAATCACCTTCATGAACCGAACCCATCTAGAACCCCCTATATAATGTAGACTCTCCTATAATAATTAGACCTAATTGTAGAACCATCTAAAGAGGATTTCCAAAAACAAAATTTGGGAGGGTTTATGGTCCTCAAGAGTCAACCCCCTGATAAAGACCCCCGGTCCTGTCAGCCAAACGAACTTCTGCATCTTGGAACAACGACATCTTCGGTGCTCGGACACGTCCAGCCGCTGATACCCCGACTCCATGACGGGTAGACCCGTGGCGTCCAACCGCGGGAGAGAGCGCTGCGCGAACCCAGGGTCTCCGAACCCGCTACCAACAAGGGAAAGAACCCAGCTTTTTGTTGGGGCTTTGGTGTCCAAGAGCTGGCTTTAGCCTCAACACATCAGAAAGAACGAAGTCTAAACCGGTGAGGACTACGCAAGCTGAGCAGGTCCATGATAAACATCGTCCCCCAAAAAAGACATGGCCATAGCATGCCATAGCGCAGTCAACTTCATGACAACCTAATTCACTTTCCAAGCCAGATTTCCATCCACCAGGTCACGCATAATGTTATATATGCATGCGCCGCAACTGTAAAGGCCTTTCTTGGACAAGTTCTGCGCGCTCTGCCGCGAAAACACCACACTCGAACCCCGAGCGCCTGCTCCTCAACGGTGGCCGACGGAATTGAGCAAACGCTTTTCCTCCGCAGAGAAGGCAGCTTAAGATACCAAATGCTCCGTGTCTGCCATATAAACCTACATTGGTTTGAGGGTCAATTTGTATGTATCAGTGTTTGTTAATTTGAGCCATGTCCATCTAATCTTTGATATGCCACTAGGCAATCATCAGGAAATCGAATATCTGTTCTCCACAGGCTTAGCCAAGTCTTCCCTCGGTCCTTAGAATCCCCATGGAAGGACCAAGTGGGCAGTGCGAGGATCTGACAAGTCTGAGGCCTTATGTTTTCTCGGCTTGGTGTTGCTTTCTCGGCTTGTTGCTTAGGTCTACAATAGGCCACAAAAGAACATCGTTACTGAACAAGCAACATTAAGCAACTTGATTGATTTATCTTGTGTGTAAGGCATTCCAAGCGAGGCAAGATGAGCAAATCAAAGAGCTGGTCCCTCACAGAAACTCACACTTGTTTTTCTAGAAGAGAACCACTAGCGGCACTCACTGCGACGCGCATCTGACATCCCAAATAACAAGACTGTACACATTGTTTCAGCTCGTATTCTTTTGTGCATTTCTATGCATTGGGTACAAATCAATCCAAGAGCCTTTAGAGTTGGGTCCTTTGTGTTGAGGCAAGCATGCTCAGAATCATTATCCTATCCGTGTTCATCCGAAATACTACTTGGTTCATGATCTCCACAAGCACATTGATTCATGATGCACAATCAACACCATCTTAAGTTTTTCAGTGACCCAAGACTATGTGTAACAAAAGGTAGAACATTCGGACGAACGTTCAAGGTGAGAGGTCCATCGGTCTACCTGTCCCAGGACGCGAACATCATGTCGAGTAGGCGAACGCCACGAATGTGTTTTTCTTTTGCAACATCCGACAATGTAGATTCGGCGGGAAGAAAATGATCAAAGGTTGAATGGCTGCACTTCAGGTCGTGAAAGGTTACGTACAATCTGAACAACATGTGACTGCTCCACGCATGGAACATATGCCAGCATTTGACCCCAGGTCAACCAGAGCCCACCAGGGGTAAATATGGCATGTAGTGTGTAGGAAACCGATCGTGGAGAGGAATCGACTCTGGTCAAAAGTGATTTTTGTCGTATAGCGGCTTCGCTTCTGTTTTCAGCGGTATTGTTGCATTATCAATAGGGCGCGCACCTTGCAGGCCAGTGGCTGTGACTCTACTAGAACACGTGTCATGCTTGGCCATTTTACGAAAAAGAACACCCAAAGAACTCCCCCTGCAAAGAGTAATCAACATCAAAGCTTTCTGAATCTTCACTTGAGTTCAAGGAATCACACGAAATTCATCAATGCTTTCAGGTTACTTGAGGATCAATTAGGCGAGACATGGACAATATTCATAATGGTATTCTGTGTGTTCGAAGCAAAACATCACGGCTCTGAGATACCTGTGAAATTCGTCAGAAAAGAGTCACTACGAGTGAAAGTCCAGCGCAGCACTTCACTTGAATCTCTACACTCAAACACCTTCAACCTCAACTAAGAGTACTCCCACAACGCCTTTACCTATAAACCATCCAAGTCACTAGCCATCAGCCCAACTCGCGGCTGCAAGCAGCTGACTAAAACAGCCGTTTGGCGGGCAACTCGGCCCAAATCGGCCCAGATCGCGTCGCGAGAGATGGAGAAACGCCACCGCCGTGGTCCATGGACATCCGAGCTCCGTGCACACGGTTTTATCGCATGGTTCTGGTCTACTTGGCCACCCAGGGCAGCAACAGATCCTTGATAATCCACCATTGCCCGCCCATGTGGTGCTGTAGAAGAACATGTAAGATAAAGAAGTACATACAGTAGGCGCCCTGAGGTCCCTTGTGGCTCAACATATCTGGTAGTTAATAATATGTATTTAGTGCACATCCGGCACAAGGACCTTAAACCCCAAAAGGAACCAATCTATGCAGGCTGGTGCTGGGTCATGGAAGCCAGACGCTCGTTGGTCTCAGGAGAATTCCTAGAGCCCTACAAGTCGCTCCAAAAAGTGCTGTCGGATGCTGGAAGACCAATTCAGCACAAGTGGCTCCCCTACATTCAGAAGTGGCTCCAAGTCAAAGAAACTTCCCTCGGTTCCACCTTCTTCTCGCTCCGAATGCTGGCTATTAACGGTTGAAGCGATCAAAGTTAGACAAGCAGCAGCCACGGGGCTAGGGCCAGGCACAAACAGCCTTTGTGGAAATGCCACAATGACAACAACCGTCACCTATGCAAAACGATAGCGATATTATTGCAAAGCATCTCTCAAATGATTCCAATATATCAATGTTTAATATCTCAGCATTGTCTGCATGATGGTTTTAGCCATCCGAAGCATCAAACAATGAAAAACACACACACAATTTTGACAGCCACTCCAGAAGGTGAAGGTCAAATAACACCACACATGCACACTTTGTAGGAATCTGCCGACTTGGCTCTGGCAACTAGCTATTGACTCCTGCTCATGCAACATTCCAGGAATGTACAGCTCTGGAAATGTGGCTGGTCTAGTTGGTTGATCCCTCTTTACCAACAGGCAAACAGTGGCATTTCATCCAAAACGTCCACACCGTGTCCTCACAACATCCCAAGAAATTGGCAACGCATAACAAATGGCACATGTCCAGAGCATAGCTTTCGACAAAGGCGGCATGTCTTGCAAACCAGCTGTGGGTCCCAGAATGGATTGGCTTAAATTCTTCGGACCGGCTTCAGTTGTGACAAGTGGATGGGTTTGAACAGTCGGACAGAGTGGCAGTCATGTCCTGATTGTCTTGGAGTCTTCTTATTGATCTTGACAGTAGGAATGCAACAAAACCTTAGGTATTCCACAACAGTTTCATGAATCACGTTGTCATTACAATAGTTTGGTTGGAGGTTATGAGTCATATAGTGAACAAATTCACTTGCGACAACATATTCTACCAGCAAGCACCATGACAGAAAGAAACCCTATTGTTGAATTTTGTGGTGGAACTGGATTGAGGGTTCAACTTCTCTGGCGGTCACTATAGGTTACAACAAAAACTTTTCACATGAGTGTGTGTTTTGAGAGGGAGACCCCCTGGCTGAATGGATGCTGGTCGTTTTTTTTGGGAGGTCTCTCTGTTTTCATACCCACCCACATCCGGCCCCCACCACTTCCGAGGTGTGCAAGCAAAGCCAAAGCGCCAGATGGGCCCTTCGCCCGGGCCCAGGGGCGGTGTACCGTCAGACTAGCGACCTGGCGTCTCCGCCGCGCCAAGTTCCAAGTTTGCCGTTCATGGCTTGGGATGAATTGGGTCCAACTGTATAAGGGGAAACAAATTGGAAACCCAGTCCGACAAGTCTGTGGGCCGCAGAGAACGAACGGTGGCAAGTACGTCTGACATGACCAGTCTGCTGACGCCTAAGAAAAACGGCACAGAACCACAGAAGACCTTCGACGATTCCCAGAGACCGAGTGTGGGTTTCACCCACTCCGCCTATTGGCCATGCGATCGATGTTCACCTCACTTCGGTGACACCGGACATCTGGACCGGTCCCACCGTGTGGGTGAAAGACAAATAAAAACCCCAGAAAAGACACAGCTTTAGGCCTTGGTCAAATAGACACCCCTTTTGAACCAAAATCACACCCGCTGCTTGCTGGTTTGAACATGTTTGAACATGTTTGAACAGCAAACGCATCCAACGGCGTCACGCCGTCCTGATGCTTCACTTCGCGCTTGACGAATGGCCTGGCCGAGGGCCGAGGAGCCGTGGTCTTCAAGTCATTCATTTTGGGGTTAAAGCCCAGTGGCTGAGCCAACGAAGATTCTCATTGAACAAACGAATGCAAAAGACGTCGACGTCTACTGTTTCTTGTCTTTACCGAGATGGTTGTTGTCTTTCATCCCCAGCCATCAACCACCTAGTAAATCTCACTATTCTTTCAAAGGACCAGCTTATCAACGAAAAATGACTCATACATACTCATACTGAGGCAAAATTTTGTCAAACAAAAGTCGTTCGTTCAGACTCAGCAAAAGTTCAACATCGCACTACAAAGGATTTCCAACTCGCTGGCGACCCGCGCTCGAGTTAACGCGACTCGCCTCGCAGATGTCCGAGACCCAGGCGGTGCGGCTCTCGCTGTTGGCAGCCTCAGGTGTTGGCGTCCTAAGAATTGTTTGATTTAGGCGAGTTTAGCACAGCTACTGAAGAATCAAAGAAGATTGTACAACATATCCTTTCCAGAAACCTCAGGTGCAAAGTGCTTCTAAAAAGATCTATGCAGTTTGACCCGCTTTTAGTTTGCTCCACACTGCCACTGCTTGTAGATGATGGTGGAATAATACTAGAGGACCAAATTGAACAAAACCCCGACTAGGAACTCGGAAAACCATCTCCCCATGTGGAGATTCCGTGCAGATCACTCTTGAAACTTTTGAAAACAATCTCTTTCCAGGATGGTTCATTACCCTCTATGCCTTTCTGAAACTGACATATCTTCATAACTAGAGTACATCCCATTCTCAGTAACAGTAGATGATGCTTAGTAAGGCCTTTCTCCAACCAAAACCTACAAAAACTGACCAACTTATGACGCTTATTGCAGGTCATGGATGGTCTTATGGGAGCACACCTTATGACCTGCAAAAACCCATCCTTTTCAGCCCCAGGGGCTCGAAACAGCACTTGGACACGTGCGCCGCCCGACGCCTCTTCAGGCATGGCACAACACACCGGAAATCGGGTGGATGACTGCATGACAGCGCAGTGTCGTGTGCCCATGTCACTCTCTGAAAGTTATTTTACATTGCTTATTTTACTTGATATCTTTAAAAAACATAACTAATTTGCTATCTCTATATCCATCTTTCAAGAGGTCTCGAACTCTTGTTTATGTTGCAAATTGATGTGTGCGGAAGTGTGTTTAGTTTCCCATCGGCAAATGTGGCTAGGTGGGTTGTATGTACACAGCTGAGGTGTCTCTCACCAGACTACATCTGTTTCTCCAGGCCGGTTTAGTGGCCAGTTTTACACATCTCTGGACTGTTCGTCACTCATGTCACTCAGGCAAGGATCTTAATAAACAGAGCATGGTCAGGCCACCAATTCCAAGATCAACATGTCTGGAACGCTGTCGCAGCTGTCGCCGTCAGCCAGTTGGAGCGCCTTGTAGCGGACGAAGAAGATCATGCCAAGTGCATCCTGGCGATCAAAAGGCCAAGGAATGGGGGGGACGTACATCCTATTCCTAGACGACTGGGAAACCCTCTTCAGAGGAAGCCCTCTTTCTCGGATTGCTTTGCCCGATTCGGCTCGTGTGCGATCTCGAAATGGGGACTGAAGAGGGGTGGTGCGGATACAAGTACCCAGATGCCAAGCAAGACATGCTGTCACACACACACACACACGAAGTCCACTTTGCCCGACTGTGCGTTCCATCCGTTCATGTTGTGTTCACTGTGAATGTCCCGCAGAACATGGAGTATTCAGTATTCGCCCATCCCAAACAGCAGGTCACCTCATTTCTAACCCACATGAATTCCTCAATTGAGTAGCCCTCCAGTCCGAACAAAGCAGTGTGGGGGTTGGGTATATCCCATTACCAGCAACAGTGGATGATAATGGTTAGTAAAGGCCTTTCTCAAAAATTGTGCTACACCCTAGGTGGTTATATGTTCCGACGGTCTAGATTTGAGAGTCTAGTGGTGAGTCTGTATCCAAGGGATATCCAAATGAAGCGATTCGCATCCTTGGAGAGCTGGCGCTCCAACGTCTATGAAGACTCAAAAAAAAATCCATCCTGTGGGACAACTTTCCCAAAAGTGCAGCTGAAAATAGGAACCTGTTGAAATGTGTTAAACTCCGGAGACCTATTCTGGTGCAATAACATGGCCACATAAGACATGTACATAAAGATACCGTATTATAAAAATATATGTATGTGAATAGCCCGTCTAATCTCTGCTCCCATCGGACAGCCTGCTTGTACTCCCGCACACTGGACACCGCCAGCAAAGGGATGGAGAGCTCCTGACAGTAAAGACATGTAAAGACCATCAAATCAACGACTGAACTCGCAGTTCAAGAAGAACAACACATGCCTGGTGAGAGTGTTTTACCATGGAGCTTCATGATGCTTCATGTATTCCTCTGATGCTGATACCTTGTCCTAATCTCTGTTGGCTCAGCTGAAGCAACTTGCATCTGGTGCTGTCTTCCGCCGACGCCGACGCAGTGCTCGGATGCCGCTTTTTTCCTTCGACTTCGGGTGCCGCTCCTCTGCTTGGGTGCTGAACCTCAACGAGCTGTCATTCATGGGAGCAAAAGGAAATAGACCATCCAGCAGTGGCACAAAACTCGGACGAGGAGCTTGGGATAAATTGAGGATTTGGGCAAGAATGGAATCACAAAAATCCAAAAGTACAGTAACACAAAACGTTCGCCTGGTGATTATTGTAGCTCCTACGAAAAAAGACCGTTTTGACTCCCAGTTCTTGTGCCCCAAAATACTCAAACACGGTTTTTGGTACCCCAATTCTAGTGGTTTCTCCTGTTCCTTTGCGACCTCATTTGGGCCAAATCCGTGACTGGAGCGCCGGAAAGGTTGTGAACTGCAGTATACATCGGTATACCAGAACATTCGTGACCATTCCTATACCCATTGATTGGGAAAGACTCACGAACCGGTCAACCCACTGCACTGACCACTGACCTGTCAAGCATCTGATCCAACGAACCCGAAACGGCCGCATCATACCGCAGCTTGGCTTTGGCACCTGACCATCCCATCCATCCCACACCAGTACTAGGGGCGCTCCTGGCATTCACTACTAGGAGCGATCGGACGCTATGAACGGGGCTCCTTCGAAATCCCCAACCAGAGTCTGTCAATGCGAATCGCACCACCGAGCTCTGGGCCACCCTGCCAAGTGGAGAGACGGAAGACCCAGCGGCCTGAGCTGCTTCGATCCACTTGAAACAGCGATGGGCCTCGCAGCGGAGAAGGCGCGGAGAAGGCGCGGTGCAGCTGGGCATTCGAACCGACACAACTCCGACAGTTCGCTCCAACAAAGGTCGAAACATGAGACAGAGAGAGGAGGGATAGATTCTAACCTGTCACAGATAGGTGATAGGTCAGTCATATATGTCATATCGCAATCTCTCCGAAAGTGGCGAAACATGAACTCATGTGACTGTTGCATCAGTGGGCCCTCTGCCAAGCCTGTCCCTCCGCCCAAGTCCATACTGTCCAGGCATTTTGAGTCTTTCAAAGGTGATACATACTTAGAGGAATGGGTCTTCAATACTCCAGAGGTTCTTCTGAGATCTCTTGCCTGCCCACTGTGGATTGCTCTTCTCCTCTTCACCTGCAAAGAAACATGGGCGCATTGCCAGACCACATGTTCTGCAATGGGTGGAATCCACTTGTAGAACTTGCGCCTTGCAACACCACTCGATTGATGAGAAAGTGCTCACTTCCCAGAAACGTGCTCAAAACAACAGGTCGGAACATAACAGAAAGGCCCCGGTTCTGATCAACCGCTGCAGGTGCTGAAACAGCACCTCCAGTCGGCCCATGTTGGCCCCAACCAGGAGAGGCCTTTGCTTGGGGACAGGGGCCGAGTTCCACATGAACACATGTTTGGGTTTGATGCGTTATGGGCAAAACAAGTTGTTTGCCGATATCATAAGATATCACATGGGTATCTTATGATATATCATAAAATAAATCGCATAACACTTTGTGTATAGCATATCTGACTCTCATTCACCAAATAGAGATTCCAGGCAGCTGCCGGGTGCACGCGCGCACCGCTGTCAAGGCATCCGACCTTGTAGCGTCCATTCCAAGAAGCCATGGCATCGATCACAAGGGCTCTGCGGCCTGCGAGACAGGAGACCATGACGGAAAGACGACGAAACATCTGCCATGAACAGTACTTAAGGCAAACAAATGCGAGGTGTGGGAAGAAAGCAAAACACAGCTAAAAAGGAAAATGGGTATACAATATATATGGTATTTTATGTTATATATATACACACAGTATATACTTTGTATATACTTTGTCTATATCGAGCAGCAGCCCTCCTCGCTTGCAGCATGACCAGTCTACCTGTGAAACCTCAGCATGGCCAGGTTTCGTTCATGGACGACACGGTCGCCAACAACAACCACCATGCTACACGAACACATCACATGGAAGTGGATGGCATGGTTCCTTGGAAGACAACTGGCCGTTTTCCACTTCCATGTGTCCGTCGGAGTGTTAAAACCAGTCGCTTTTGTGGAGTGTTGAAACTTGCGTTGTTTTCGTGTTGTTCTGAGGCGAGGGTGGGTCCAGTGGTGTATCAAGTGCTGTGATGACTTGTGATGACTGAGATGCGGCCAGTGACTTGTATGTGGCCAGACCATCACAAGTATGACTTGTCTGTGACTTTTGATGCGGCGGCCAGTCGACCGTTCAGCCTACTTCACGAACGACAAGTCTATACTTGTTTGTATCTCAACAGAAGCTCCAAACCCGGCACAATCCATTCTCAGCATGTAGGAAAACTTTGGTCTCTCAACAATGTTTGCTGGCTGTATGAGGAGAATCAACAGGAGCAGGAGCAAAATGTGAGCAACCACCAGGATGTGGCATGGGCAAACGCGGAGCAGCACCACCGGCGGCAAAATTTCTGCAAGAGGAGCACATCCACCTCACCTACACACAGACTTCAGCATAAGAAACAACATCATGTCAAAATCGGCATCCTAGTCTTTCTCTTGTAAACTGCTGAGAGGCCGCGACCAACTTGGGAAAAAGGGTAGGCATTCCACCGGAGGTTTCTCGGAATCGTGTGGACTGTCGATGAAGTCCAAGCAATCTTAATCTTTTTCTATGACATGTGGTGGTGTACTGGTAGGTTCATCAAGGTCCGACAGGCCGCAGCGCAGGTTGGCCCGCTTGGGCGCGCCTGCCGCTGGCGACTTGGGTACCTGTCAGCAAGGAATGAACCCATTCTCCTGACTTGGAAAGTTGAGACACGGTGAACAACAAGACACACAAAGGCAGGTGTGATTCACCACCACATGCTATGGTCTAATGATCTGACATCTGAATCTGGTATTGGGTAGACATATGTTCCACATCCTGTGCCATCTGTAGCTATGTTTCACCGCCTTCTTCTGTGCTGCTTTCAGAGCCAGCTGCTTGCAGGGCCTGGTGGGAGGATACCATTCCAAGGCACTGAACGACTCTTGTTGGGGCGGGTGCCATATGGGTGTGTATTTTAATCCGGGGACCCCAACCAATCAATGCGTAGACAGGTCTATTTTCCTTCTTCCAGGGGGTCGAACTGGGAGATCTCCCTATTTCAATACACACCGCACCTATACATACTAAATATATATGCCAAAATCTGTATTTTGTATACTTTGGCATAGGATCTCTTGCTGGTTCAATCCTGATTACTGCATTGCCTACGGGCAACATGATAGTGGCATTGTTTGAAGCTCCTTCCCCATGAATTCGCTCTTCAAGTGCATCTTTTTCTCCTGTTCTAGAGGAGACGACAGCTCTTAAAGCCCAGTTCGGAACGTTGGCCTTCTCTACTACCGTACTGATTGTTTTTGCCAACCAACTCTCCGCTCTGTTGATCTTCTGTGAACGTCGCAAGGACCGCCCGATGCCTCACCAAGGGATGCCAAGGCACCGCCTTCTGGCCTGATGAGGTTCGGACTCGTGTCTTGAAGAGCTTTTGGAACATCAAAACATGCGATGTCTTTTTGGGGGACGGAGAGCACATCTATAAGCTGACAAATAGACTATAAAAACTTAAATTGTACGAACTGACAATCCAACGCTCAAGGCAACTCCGCATCTAGCAAATATTGAAGCCACCAGCTCGCTCCCTTCAAGTGGATCCACTTGGAAAGCTTTTGCAGCGAGCAAGGAAGGCTCAGCAGAAGCGGCCAATGCCATTTGGGGCAAACGATCAAAATATGGTAGACTCCCCAAAAGGTGTCGTCCATGCGGGTGGGTAAATAGAGACAGGACCATTCTCAATGTGCAGAAATAAATAAAGGACGTCTTCTCTGTCAATGACTGTCTGTGTAATGGTGAAAATGACTTGTTTCACCCAACAATATATACCCAACACACGGGCTCACGGAAATTTGAAGGGCTGTCTCTTCAGCTTCAACGTACTCTTGCCCAGCAGGATCGACTACAGAATCCTCTGGAGAGTCTCTGCCAATCTCTCCCAGGCCCTGGTGAAACCGATTCCGCCTCTGGCTTTGGCGGCCCTGCACATGTGCGTTGTTTGATGAGTGTCCGCGGAAACAAAGCAATCCTTCTGCGAATCTCTTGCTCAAGGTAAACGCATATCTTTATAAATATAGTTCTAAGTGTTCAGGTCCTTGTTGTGGATAAATCTCTTGTGATCCTGCTTCGTTCCATAAACAACTTGAAGAAACACGTGCTCAAGAGAGCTGACCAGCAACCCGGCAACCCTGTGAAATCTCTCGCCTCTACCTGTCCTTCCTCAATGACGCTCAGGCGTGCCAGTCCTGACGCTTAGGGTGTTCACTCAGTCCACTGGTGCCCTGCAGGAGAAAACGAAGACGGCGATCTGCCGGTCTTGTGGTTATGGTATTCTGCTCTTCGGTGGGACCAACATGGACCAACCAAATGCCCTAATTATCTTGTGGTACATGGGAGGTTTGTCGTGTGTATCCACATACTTAGGGCGGGTGGCCGGTTCATGCAAGTTCCCAGACCAAAGCTGTTCATGCGGTTCCCATCACCCACTGCAAGGTCTGAAGCTCGAAATCATCACGCCAGTCAAACCCTGATGTTCACCACAATTTGAAAAGCTTACAGGAAAGCTTCTCGCACCATCTTGGAAAAGCTCATAGGCTCCAGGCAAAGACAAGCAGCAACACTTTCTCTGCCATCCATCTGCCTCTCAAGATTACTTGGAAGGAACCTAAACAAGCCGATCCACCAGCCTTTCTCCAACTCCCCAGTGATTCCTGCCTGCAGCATCTTTCTGGCTGTCTGCCTGTGGTAACAAGGACTGTCTGACTTCTACAAAGGACAAACAACTTGTTTCTATGGTCGATGGTTGTGTGCACTTCTTACTCTTACTTGACAGGTTCCTATGATTCTACATAAAGGGTCGTTGCCATTAACCTGCCAACCTGAATGGTCACTGATCTCCTCGCTGCTGCTCTACACAATAAAAATCATCACCTAGTCATCTAGTAGAGGAATCTGATAGGCATCCTACAAATATTGTTCATGATCCAAATTCTTTTCCTCCAATAGGCTTTGATAAGTAGAGGAACTTTCATGTCCAAACACCCTGGCAGCCCTGGCATCTCTCTTCTTCGACCTCTTCTTCGACTCCGACGGGTCGTTCTGGCATCACACCGGACGCCTGGAGCTCCAAGGCCCGAAATGCGGCCACAGAGCGACGCAAGCGCCTGGAGCGATGCGGAGTGCGGAGTTCTTCTTCTCCCCACCCCGAGCGATGCGAGACGGAGGCGAACGAATGGACTCATGGCGTCACTGATATCTGCTTCATATATGTTCATATGTTCCGATACAGTATAGACATAGTTTTTACAGAATTCACGGTGGTTCTTGTTTGCTTTTCTCCTTTTGCGGGTTTGCCCCACACCCCAAGTTAAGTGTCTTGGTGATGTCAGCGAAGAAAACGTCGCTTAGTTTGGCCATTGGGCCAAGTGATCCTTATTGAAATAACTTTGAAATAGACATGGTGACATTTGTTGCGTTTTAACGGTCCACACCCACTTTACTGCAGGGGTGGGGTAGTGGCCCGCCTGTCCGCCTAGTGTGGCACCCAGGGATTGAACCAGGGGTCATAGCGACTTTGGACCATACCGGTCCTCGACATGGTGAAGTCTTCACCCTCTGCATTACACAGCCAATACCGGGCAGTCAATGAAAAGTCAAAGCATGCCGATGCGAGGGATCGTTCAAAGATGTTCAAAGTATATGTTCCCGTGACAAAGGACATAATAAGGGACTTCCTCCCTCCCCAGTAAAGCCGCCAGAGCAGAATGCGAAGCAGCAAAGTGGCTTTGGCGAAGCCAAAGTCTGATTACCTAAGGACCGGAACGCGTCAGGTGACCAAAGTCTAATCCCTTCCCTCCCAACTTCAGCCCTCGCCTCTGCCCCTCGACTTGTCGACGTACGCGGGCTTTGGGTGTACCTCCCAGGCTTGGCCCCTGTCTGGGATCAGTCGTCTTGCAGCAAAGAGTCAGCATGGAAACGTAAAAGAAACTTCCCACGGGTCATATGTAGATCAGGGAATGTTTCTATTAGGTGCTGCGACTGGTGCTGCGATATAGCATATGTCAGCCTCTATGTCAGCCCTATCAAGATCTTTACAGCATATGTTTTACCCGCTCATCACTAACGAAACCCACTGACCCCGCCACGCCTGCCGAGGAAACGGAAGCTTCACTCTGGACCGAGGCCGGAGATCCTCGGGGCGGCTTCCGGGGATTGTAACATCAACTTCGCACAAACCTCAATCCTGTCTGACAGGTCTGTGGCAGATTCCACTCTACACGTTATGAGTAGAGTGGAATCTACCTGCAGGAAGTCTCCACCCAAAAAGTGTGGGACACTGAACTCGTCATTGCCTCTTTGGCGCTCTTCTTCGGGTGAACTCGTTCCGGAAAACCTCCGAACTCGCTCGGTGCCCCGACCGGAGCCCAACCTGCAATTCCAGCCACTCAAACAACCGAATCATCCACAAGGGGGTGGGAATGGAGGATCAACACCTATAGAATCGATATATTAGAGAACGCAAACATAATGTTTCGGAAGTCCATTCTGCGCATGTTGGAAGCTGATACAAATACACATCAAACATCATTCTAGTTTTTGTTCAATCATATATTCATTCCCTTGAGTTTATTCTTCGACTTGTACAGTTGGCTAGGTTTCCAGTTATACATTATCCGATGTTATGCATTTCTCCTTTACATCATTCCACTCCCTCCCAAAACTGTGTAAGTGGAAAATTGCTGTTGGAAGGACATGAAATAGACAGTTTTCTACAAACAACAGTTTGTGGTCCGCGTCCATGTTTGTTGGAGGGAGGGTCTTTCGGAACCAGCTCTGCACCGAACTGTACCTGGCCTGGCAGGGCTTTGACCTGGTCAAAAATCACCCGCGAGCCGTCGACTTCGGAAGTTCAGATCATCACCAAACTCTGACAAGTACCACTATCTGTTGCATGTAGCGATACACAGGTAATACACACTCTTATGACTCAAACATGACTCAAACACGGCTTAAACACGGTGAAATTTTGGGCCATGAACAGTACCGCCTAACATCGTGCCAGGATAGTATATCATCTTTGATATTCCTTGCATTAGGGAATGCCACTGGGGTGCCCTGAGTCGCTGGGCGTGTCCTGAGTCGCTCTAACCAACCAAATTAGACCAAAAGCTGCTGCACAGTCCTGAAAGGAGACACAATTTTGGCAGCATGAACCCTCCAAACGGATTGAAACCTTAATAACCTAGTCGGACCCTATAGTAGGACTTCTGCTGCTTCCCTCTTTTCCACAAAAATCAGTTCAACTTCGCTGACTGGACGGACACCTCCGCTGCTTTTGACCTTCGCAGCACGGTGTGACCTCTCTTCGCCGCCCGGCGCGGTGAACTGCGCCGCCCGCGCGTGCACCGGCTCCGCGGAGCGCGTGCATCCGCCGCGGGGAGCTCCGCGGGGAGCTCCGTTCGCCACGAAACGGGGCGCGCGACTCGACTCGTGTGGGTTCGTACGACTTGACGTAGACAGACCTGAGATCGAAGTCAAAACTGCAAGCTATAGTCAAGCAAAGGAGGTAGAGGAGAAGGTATTGGCCGATTGACTCTATATCCCCAAACTGAAAGTGGGCGGCCTTGCTTGAGTCTGGACAAGCGCCAGAGCGAAGCATTAACGATCTAATTCAAACACAAACAACAAACATCAAGCGCATTCGAAAGCAATCCAAGGTTTTGAGTTGATATCTTATTTTACGAAAACTTAGAAGCCGAGGATCCTTTGAATTGGCTTCTTTTACAGGATGCCATAGCGCTTCACATTGGCAGCGTAGTCTTGCCACTCCTCGGGGAATTCCTTGGCCAGGTACTTCTCTTCGAAGGGCACAATGTAGCCTAACAAAACCAGTTGACTGGTTTTATCTTCACGGAAAACAACATTATACAAAAAAAACAAAAACAACTATGATCACATCTACGTTGTTTTGGAGAGTTTGTTTCATTTTACCTGCTGGGGATCACCACGGTCCTGACAGCTTCCACTATCTGGCAGCATGAGTAAGCATGTGTTACATGTGTTTGTCCTGCGGCACTCTGCTTCATTACAAGAACATGTATGATTATGTTATTTTGTCTAATTTGGCGTTGGGTCATTTGTATATTAAATGCATACTATCATAATGCATTTAATATTAGTTGTCCAATGATCTTGGAACTTTGAACCCTGAAAATAGTATCAACCTTTCACCCAGAGTAAATGTGGGTTCGATCGGATACACGGCACGACGTAACGAGTAAGGCGTCCACAATCACTCAACCAAGCGGCCGCCGACGTATGCCATGAACGGGACAGACATGATGCCCACCCACCAGGTGTTCCTTGGCTGAAACCGGACATATCGATTGCCCGACAAATGCGAGCTTGCAACGACGGGCTGAGAGACCAAAAGACCCACGTCTAACGTCGAACGTTTCCTGAAGATGAGTGGTCGATGTCATGTCCACCAAACTTCCAATGATATCAATCATCCACCTGGAATGTGTTCGGAGATCCTAAACAAAACACCCCTCAAATGGAGCAGTTTGAGTCATCACCCAAGTGGCTGCATGATGCCCAAGCCCATCATGGTGCCCAACATGCCCACCTCAGCCGCGATACGGACCACAGCCAGAGGTTTGGGCGAAAGGAAGTGCTGCAGGAAGCCTCTGATCGCCTTACTTGTATAGATATATCATGAGATTCCTCCACTAAGTCACACTAGGTGACATCCCCAGAAACTGGTCGGCGATTGACGCATGAGTGCTGAGGCCAAAGGACTTGCCAGACTCCACCGATGTTGCCCCCACTGGGAAGTGTTTCTGACCTTGCCACAACTCAGCTGCATTTGCTGCCCATCCTTTCCTCCCTCCCCCCGCAATCAAGCTCTTCAGTTCACCATGTTGAGCAAGAACACCCAGAGGAACACCCATGAGCAACGTGCAAACTGCAGTTCCCAACTAACAACCTACGGGTTCCCAAGAGACTCACAGGATCTTCATCGAAGCCACGTACATGGGATGCCTGCATTGTCCGTATGGACCATCGACGACCAAGGTTTGAACCTGGTGTCCATGGGCCACAGGAGAATGCTGTGCCAGTACGTGGTACATCGCCTTATAGGAGTACCTAGGATCGGTCAGCAACTGCTTGCAGAGACATCACGCTGGAAACTCAATATACAATTCGGTCAAATCAATTCAGGCAGTCGAACAGAATACATGGAGTGATCCCGACCCAGGAGATCTGCTAGCTGGTCTCTAAACAAATTTGACGGACAAGTACTGATGAACACCCCACACTTGAAGGAAGCGATCTCGGCATGAAGACATCAATCCACTGGCTGTTTCTTCCAAAATATGTCCCGTTGCTGTTTCAACATCCAATCTGCCGACCCATGCCAATCCCAATGTTTCGCGCTGACCACCTAACCACCAACCACCACTCTTGTTGTAATTTTCTCAGCAAAACAAAAGACCTCACTGGATCCAACACCGTCGAACCAATAAAGCCCGTCCTCACCAGACCGTCCTCACGACCGGTTCCACCACCGAGCTCCACCAGTTTTGGGTGCGGGCCAAGGGTCCAAACGCCCAGCGCGGCGCCCAAAGCACCGGAGCCCCGGAGTGCCAGCTGCATGCTTGGAGGCACCAAGCGCGGCAGCCTCTGGACATGGTCACATAGGGTCCAAGGCTGCCACGCTTTTCGGATGGTCTTGGAGGCCGCAAAAGAGTACTTACTTACTTCCGAATGGCCTTTTTTGGTGAGAATCTCAGGATGGTCCTGGAGCCGAAGTGATATGAGACGATGCGGATATCACCCAAGAGGGGGTCTGCGTCAAGTGTGGAAACTCCTGTCCCCGCAGTCCATGAGGCGCCCGATGGATGCGTGAGGCACAAGTGACCACGTTCAAGGGCTCCGAAATGAGGTGACGAAAGGAGATCGTTAAAGGATGCTAAAGGAGTCAGTAAGCAAGAAGCACACAACACATATTCAATCTACTACTGTAGCCCGTCTATGCTATTGTCGCATCTTGACGTTCTGATCAGGTCAAGCTTGCCCAATCTTCTGGCATCCTGAAAGAGAATCGGATATGCCTTGCGCTCCAGTCTCTGCCAGGCCCTGTGCCGGGCCGAAAGCCAAAAACAACCTGTCTTTGGAAAGCATCTCTTCTTAACATCCAGCTACTAAAACTTAGATGAAGCTATGTACTTTGACCTTTGAGTCACCCACCCTATGCACACCTTCAGAGCTATGTTAGCTATGTGGATCCTCAACATGGATGTTCCAGCCCCTCCTCCCCTACCCCCCACCTCGCTTGCCCGTCCCGCTCGGTGGCCGTCTTCTTGCCAAGTGGCAAAGTGAGAGGACTCCGGGTGAACTTCAAAAAGGCCGCTGAAGCCAAGCAGGCCTGGAAAACATTGGAAGCCTCCATCTGTTAGTGATTGGGCAGCAATGCATGGGCTTCGTCATAAGGAAATCGTCATCTGTTCCATCTTTTCCAAAGCTCCCTACAGGTGGCTCAATGCGGCGACCTGCATGATCCATGAAATCATCCACACCCGGAAAGACTTGGAATCGATCTACACCACACCCGACATCATCAGCCAAGAACCGTCACTGGACCTGGATATGTAAAGAATGTCACTGGAGAAGTGTCTGGAGATCCGGGATTTTTGAGCAAAGGCAGTGATGTGTTGCATGGCAAAACAAACGCACTAGCAGTAGCATGTGGGGAACAAGAACCCTGGAGTTTGATCCCGTTCTGATCTCCACCCGAAGCTGCTTTGCTTCTGGCCCACTTTCACCAAAGCTGTCTCTCCACACTTGACACGAGCCCAACTTCTTGCACTTCTGTCATCTGCATATAATTTTCCACACCCCAGCAGATCCCACACAAGAGCAATTGCAACCCGCCCTGAGACTCAACATCAAGATCATTTAAAGATTTCTGACACCTGAAAAGAAGCTGCCTTTTGATCCTTTCTACAAAACCGCAAACGCCCCACTCCCGCACCAGGAAGACGGGCGGAGGTGGCACCGGCACCAAAATGCGTCGGTCCACTGGAGAGAATGCTGTGACGTCTACTCGCTCGAAGACCATGGCGGTGCCAGGTGTGGAGTGCCAAAGGATGCCCTTTGTTACTAGTAATTAGCGTCCTTTGCTCCTAGTAGCAAGGCCAGGAGCGCCCCTAGTAGCGTCCTTGCTCCTAGTGGCGATGCCCTTTGTTACTAGTAGCGAAGGAGTAGCAGCAGTCCATAAGTTGTGTCTCAACAACCAAACTTTGTAGTCCATTGGTTTTCAGTCCATGGGTTGCGATGGGTTGTGTCAATCAGAGATGGGAAACCGGGAAACCAACTTACGTCATATTATTGTTACTTTCCAAAGTTTTAGGGGTTGTTCTGACAGCTATAGTTACATTCAGTCCTGAGCAAGTTCTCTCAGGCTTTAACAGCTTAAATCGTTGCGGTTGCTCTCAAACCTTGACATCAAGCAAAGGTCACACTGCGGCCATCAAATCGATTGGCAAAAGCGTGACACCAGCCATCCTGCGTGTATATATATATATACACACACACCTAGAACCCATCATTTGACCTCGTATTTGATAGGAAAAGGACATATTTGGGATAGTTGATCCTCCAGATTAGGTCACTATAGATTGACTCCTACCCATGCTCTTGGTGTCCGAACCGGCCGCGTGGTAGCCTGCCAAGGATGCGCGAGTCCGCCTGCAAGCGTGGAATGATGAGATACTGAAGTTAACTGAGAATTGAATGAGATCAGAAAATCATTGGAATTGAATATATATAAATCATAATAAGCTTACATGTTCAGTTCAGGAGTCATATTAGATATTGGAGGGTTGTAGTGGATCTGTCTTGGAATGAGTGTGCACAAGTACGCTTCCCTGAATAAGTCCCAAGCTGCTCCTGAGACACAATTCCCAATACCCAAACATGGGCTGATGCATGCTAACAGCTTCAAGAGTTACAGTACAATACAACGTTGAGTATGACATGGGATGGCTTGAATTGAACACAACCGCTCTCTGACATTGGATGTGCATGGTGTTTTTTCCTGGAAGTGCTTTTCAGCTTGAGAATTATGCTACGTGCAACAACACGTTCTTTCCAACAGTTCTCAAACTACCCCCATGAACGCTTCATGAATCGTTTAAAACGCCGAGTTCATGTGGTATGGTTTTGGGGATTCGCGGCGGTCACTACCCCAATTCCTCTTGGGCCCCATTGCCCTCTTCGGCTTCCACGAAGCTCTTGCAACAAGGAGGAAGGAGTGCCTGGGGGGTCTCAGATTGGAGGCTCTTTCAGTCATTTTGTGGGGGCGCGCAATCAGGAAGAAACATGATGCTACCACAGCTACCGCAACACATTCATGTGTCATGAGCTATATATTAGCAGCTATATCGATTTCTTGATGATCAAATCAGCGAAACACAAAGTCACCAAACTCTGAAACGACATTTGTATCTTGGCAGCTAGGCTGGCTGGTGAGCGTTGGATAAACATTCTGCCTCATGAAGACAGAAACTCATTTTGCAGGAAAGGCAGCAAAGCTGGAGCTTCTAATCAGGACAATTGAGCTCATGCCCATCCCACCAAGTCTTAGATCAATGCAGTACTCAAAAACTCTCCGCCTCTAGGGGGGTCCCCCTCTATCCCCCTCGACTTTGCAAGTTTCTTGCTACAAGATGAACAGAACTCTTCTTCCGAAAGATGGAGGCTTCCCTGCCTTTTGGATTTCCTCCGTGCCTCGCACGTTGGCATCCGACCTCCGACCGGACCCTCCGGGACGCCCCCCGGACGCCGCCCGAGGCGGCCACTGGCATCCGTGGTCCCGGGCGAGCTGAGGGCCTGGACCGGGGTTCGGGTTCCCCGTGGAGGTCCTCACATAGTGGGAACATATCAGCTCGTACCTCACACAGAGTAACTCACATAGGACATGGTAGGTAGTAGGTGTGGAACTCTGATGTGTGATTCATTCCGAGTTTCTTCTTGGAGCGGGTTCTTGGGGTTCTGATTCTATGCCAGAAGATGAAACTTGGCATCTGAGAGCACCAAATGGTGGATAGTGATGCTTTCTCCGTTGAATTCATCATCAGGCTGGGTGAACCAAACCAAAGGTTGGTCAAGAATCGGCATGCGGCCAGAACCTAGGGATCTACTGGACAGTACCAGCGTTTTTGTATGTCTTCGTCCATGATTGCTAACATGTTTCTACGAAGCCAAAACAAGAGTATTTGTATTTTACAGGATCAGCTCTAATAGTACTAACTACCTAGCTAACCCTGCTAGTCCGGTAAGCGCTACCTTTTGCTCTACCTTGAGAGTCAACGCTACGGGGTCCATGGGGATGAGGTGAATTTCAACACCCCCCTTTACAAGGAGCTACCCGTAGGGAAAATCTCGGGGAGGATCAAATTCTAGCGACGAAGGAATCATATTAGAAATCCCTCATCAAGCTCTTGCATGCACTATACAAGGAGAACGTAGCTACCCTAATGTACAGTTTTCGCCTCACTCGGCATGTGGTTAAACATGCTAGGCCCAGGTTAGTGTTAAGCATTGATTAAAAGTTCACTCTCCGACTATGGCAATCCTGTTATGGATGCATTGGGAAGTGAGACAATGAAGTGAAACATCATCTCACAGCGCGTCAGAAGGTGATCTTTATCTCAACACTCATAAGCTGCAAGGCATACCATTTATGGTAGCTATTCAACATCTGCTTAAAGAAATTGTATTCCAAAACGCTCCGTCTCGTCATGCCATCCCTGCCTCAACCACTCCCACAATTCCATGTGATTGGGCCAATAGTTCTCGCCCCATGGGTCATCGCGTTGCCATTGTACTCCAGGAAAATCAAAGGGTTCCAATGGTCGATCAATAGTTCCACGAATGCTGGAAGTCGGCGGCCCAGTTAAGGGTGCATTATGTGACGATGATGCCGAAGCGGATGAAGTTCCGGGTGGCAATGGCGGCGGTGGCACGTTTTGTACATTCCATTGCTGTGGAGCATAAGGTCCTCCTCGAACACTCACCTGCTGCTTATCCTTGCCCTTTCCTTTTACGGAAGGTTGCAACCGACTGTAAAGGTCTGTAAGCGGCGGCGGCTTCGGCGTGAGATTGAAATCTGTCGGCCTTGTATGTACCGGAATGCCACTGGCTGTATTGGGTGGCACTTTCGGTGGAGGAACCTTTGGAGGAGGCACCTTTGTTGGTGGGACCTTCGGAGGTGAAGGTTTTGCTGGACGCGGTTTTGAAGCCGGGGATAAGCCGGCCGTTGGTGCATCATTTGGTGCAGGTGGTGGAGGTGGTGATGCTGGGGCCTCTTTCACCGGTACTGACGGTGGATTGGAAGGAGGCTTTGGGATTGACGGTTTTGCAGGAGTGGATGGTGGAGTGCGAAGTGGAGGACCCAAAAGGTCCTTGGGAATGTTGCCACGCTTAGGTGGAAGGTCTTCACGGCTGCGAGATATTGCACGGGCAACTGAACCACGTGGCGTCCCTTTTGCGGGAGCAGTGGAACCTGACGCAGAAGAACTGCCTTGCCCTTTGCCCTTACCGGCAACATCTCCTCGCACACTGGCATCCCGTTTATGGGAGTCTCCTTTGCCTGATACTTGTCCTTGAGCAGGAGGTGCATTCATACGGAATACCGACGAGGTATGCGTCCCTGTTACGGGAGCTGGCGGCTGAGGCACGCCTGGCGGTGGAGTCCGGTTGTCAACCCAAGTTGCAATACGACCAGATTGATCTCGGTCTTCTTTCCTCCTCCACTGCAGCCTCGGTCGTTTGTCTGCATCTCCAATAGTCTCCATATACATCTGCGATCGCTTCCGCGTCAACGGGGGCCTTGTTACAGGTCCTTGAGGAGATGGGGATCCACGCTGTCCAAACTCCAACAAAAGTTCTTCCAACCTTCTGACTTCGTCAGATGACATGTCCTGGCCACAATCGGCAAACTTGGGATAAGGCGTGGCCATGCGCTGTTCGATGTTCATGAAGCCCATCTGTGAAACTGGCTGTCCACGATCGCGTCCCTGCATATTTGCAGACTGTTGCGCGTTTCTCTGATATTGAATGTTTGCATAACTTTCATTCTGCTCTGCAAACTCACTCAAAATCTTGTAAATGCCTGTCGTGTCTCCACGAGGAATACGAATTGAATGAATATCGCCATAGACGTCCGTCGTGGGGATAAAGCCCTGGATCTTGATCTCATCTCGGCTATTGCCAATTACGGCGGCGTATTGTCGGAGTGACATAAACTCTCGGCGATAACTGATCAGAAAGTCCTCGTCGACGCCTTGCTTGAAACAGGTATGTAGGTTGTCAACACCGCATCGAATATACGCGAGCTTGGCGAGGTCAACCCTGTCCAGTCGATCCAAATCACTGACAACCGACTTCCCTTTTGATCTCTGCTTCGCTGATCTCGTGGGTGCCGGTAATTGCAGTGACGCAAACAAGTCTTCTTGCGCTGCATCAAACGCTGTGCATCCTTCTCCGGTTAAGGAGGTGGCGAAGACGTCGTCGCGGTTGAATCGATCGAATACATTCTCATACCCTGATTTCAATGCTTTGCGAAGGCGACTGCGAGCTGCAAGAATAATCTGACTGTCAACTGACGGGCTGCCACGAGCTGGAGGTCGTCCAGACTGTAGGTCCTGCGCGGCAATGCTGTCAAGCATGCTTGTTGCGGTCATGTTCTTGGGCACGCCCCCCTGCTCTTGTAGCACCTTTGCACGCCTCATCTGAAGTCGCATAAACTTTGAAATCGGTCCATCTGTTGTATTGCTCTGAAATACTACTCCGCATCGATGACAAGATGCCATTCCTGCTAAGGAAAGTGTCGTACATTTATCGCAGCTGAAAGTTCGAAGATGTAGAAAATATCCACTCTCGATCTGTGGTACAGCTGTATTGCGATTTGCCTCCATCTCTTCCTTCTTTGCGGCACTGCTGCTAGCTGTGCGTTCTTCGGGAGTGGCGTCGCTTGTACCTTCCAAAATGGTGCGTACTTCCGACACTTTTCCCGGGACCAATGTCACATCATCTTGCGGAACACCGATCTCAATG